GCCTAAGAAAAATGTAAGGGAGGGATGTCGATACATTTTTGTTGTGATTGTCCACTAACTTTGGGTTTGCATTTGTCCTGGGGCAAAGGACGCGGGATGAGAAGACCAATTACAAGTGGCCATGGTTCTGTGTGTAAGCACCTGTGTTCTGGGTGGTTACTGACAGGCCAGAAATGAGGTGCTGCCATCATTAATTTTGGCAACACAGCAGAGTATATAATCTGAGAGACATGCTTGCCAGTCCTAGAAAAATGATGGAAAATAACACCCCCGTCCTTGGCATTCATTGTTTTAGTGTTTTATCCTCTAAAATGTTCTGCCTTTGGGCTCTTTATCTGTGGCATAATATTGAATGGATTTTTTACTGCTATTTAAAATTCTCTAAAGCAGCAGTTCTCAACCTGTGGGTCGCAACCCACAGGAACTGTATTAAAGGGCCACGGCATTAGAAAGGTTGAGAATCACTGCTCTAAAGTCCTTGTAACTTCCCCTGATTTTTTTTTTCTTTTATAAGCTATAAGGAACTACGTACACTGGTGTAGATCTATAGATTGAAGTGAGAAATATCAAGATCATGTATCCTAAACCCAGACAGACTCTGGTCAAGTGTTCCTTAATAATGCCTATGTACTGCTGTTTTTCTTGTTCCAACCCTATGTGTATATTAACCTTTATCTCAGTTCTCTAGAGTTGCTGTAACAAATTACCACAAACCCAGTGGATTAAAACTACAGACATTTATTCCCTCATAGTTCTAAAGGCTAGGAGTCCAAAGTCAAGGTTTCAGCAGGGTTCTGTTCCCTCCACAGGCTCTAAGGCCTTGCCTTTTCCATCATCTTGTGTCTCCTTGTGTTCACTCTAATCTCTGCATCCACATTTACCTGCCATCCGCCCCCTTTTCTGTCTCATGATGACACTGTCATTGGATTTAGGGTCTGCCCTAAGCCAGTACGATTCTTTAATTACATCTGCGAAGAAGATCTTGTTTCCAAATAAGGTCACAGAGTGAACATGAATTCCGAAGGGACACTATTCAATCTACTACAACCCTGTTTTAAAGCTGGAATGAATCTTAAAAGAGACTCAGATTTGGATTAAAACAAATTCCCTTGGCCAAATACCCTATAAGAAAAAGTGCTTGGGAACATTGAGTCCTACAGCTGTTTTCAATAAAAATGCCCTACCCATGACAAGGCAGCTGTTCAGTTATGTCGCAAGTGTGATGTTCGTGCTTCTCTGCTCCCTTCAGTCAGATGATTCTCCATCTGACCGAAAGGAGATGGACCCTCACCTTGCTTTGACAGAAAGAAAATTGCCAGTGACTGAGAATCCTTTCTTTCCCTGGGAGGAAGCGAGAAGTAGGATGCAGAGTAAGTAGTCACTTTCAAACTCAGATAATCCATTCTAAGGTTTCCTCGGTCCCCTAAGTCACTATGCACTAAAGTGCTTTCAGATACTGTCTGTGGCCATCCATGCACAGCTGGCCTGAGGTTACTTGTTCTTAAACAACTGGTTTTTACATTTGTAGTGCAGCCTTAGGACTGTTTTTTTTTTTTAATTGTGTTATTAAGTAGAGGTGAAGCAGCTCAAATGTAAGGGATGAGAGTTTGAGCTGGGCGTTATAGCTCAGTAGTTAGTGTGCCAGCCCTGCACAGGGGCAGCAAGTTCGAACCTCACCTGGGCTTGATTAACAAAAAAATAAAAAGGGAACACCCCCAACTTCTTGGTCCTCCTCTTCCCCAGAGCCCCTCTGCCTGGGAGGCTCTGAGGAACCCCCAAGGTGGGCAGGTCGGCCCAGCACTTTTTGAGATGTGAGCATCTGTTTCTCTGTCCCTGGATTATCATCATCTTCCTTTAATAGCATCTGGAAGGGAAAGGGTTGTTTTCTCTTGACCTTCCATAATGTATAGCCTTTGTCTGAACATTCAGCAACCATTTCCTGAACGCTTGCTTTGTGTCAGGTCCTGCATCTTCCTCCCTGGACTAGGGGTACAGAAGTAAGTAAAGTTGACAGTGCCCTTTCCCATAAATGACCCCCAGGCAACAGGTTCTTGCCTTGTAGGTCAGTGTTTTAAGGCAACTGTCAACTATGCAAGAAACCATGAAACCTCCAAATCTCTTGAGAGGCAGGGAGGGGACAAGGGTTCAGCCTTAAATTTTCATGAGGAAGCCTGAGTGGGAGTGATACAAATGGAGAGTCCAGGAAGAGGGCTATGTCTTTTATTGCTATGCTTTATTAAGAACTAAAATCCTGTATTTGTGACCCATGAGCAGATGCTAAGCGCAAACTTGCAAAATTGTGCAGCTTCATTGTCTACTGAGGTTGCTTTGTGTTGACATCATGTTTTGTTCCCAGATGTCAATAAAACATCTCTCTGCATGTAATTGTTACGCCTATTCAATATCTGTAAGATGGATTTTATCGGAAGAGTAGCAAAAAGAAGCATAATTCTAACCCTTTTAAATTATAGGAAAAAGAAAAAGATGCAAAAATACAAAGATTAAATGCACATAGCCTAATAGCCGAGAACCAAGATCCCAGTAGGATTGGGATCATCTCTAGGCAGAAGAGATGAAGAAGAAAGCTGGAGGATTGGTAACGTGCTCAAGGCTGCTCACAGCTAGAAGAGGAATCTGTTGTGCTAAGTCAGGAGAGCCAGGCCTTCAAAGAATAGTCCTTGAATAAGTGATCCTTCAGCCAAATTCCACCTGTCATGGAGAACCAGAGCAGGGCCATCAGTCCACTCCCCGCCCAGTCACTTTTTTTTTTAATTTAAAAGATGATGTACATAACACATATAAATATTTATATACTAAATAACAGTTTCAAAAGCTCTAGATAAAACTGAGAGAAATAACTATAATAGATCACAACACTATCAGTCTATGGCATTTATAGCCAACAATAAGAAAACTGAATTTGAATAATATAATTTAATTGGCTGAGTAAACACATTCACGGGTCACTCTTCTTAAGAAGTGTTGCGTTTGCAATTTTTAGAAGAGGCGAGTGTGAAAGCCCTGTGCAAGTTCTTTGTGACTGAACATACCTCACCAATCCTACTGCCCACCCCCAGACCCAGTGTCCTGGGTCCCCCTTCCTCTGCCTCCTGAAAGTGCCAAGTTACACTTTCTTTCAGAGTTGAGTTGAATCATTCCAGGACAGAGGCAGGAGAAAAACACCTCCAGAGAGAAGCTAGTTCCTGGAGGGGCTTCCACCCCAGCCTCAGCACCAGGAATGCACAGGCAAATTGTGGAAATAAGAAGCAGCCATGGCAATAGTCAAGTGTTTATTCTAACCTACTGTTTGATTTTCTGTCTTCCCTAGACGTTAGCTTGGAAGTCAGGGATATGTCTGGAAATGGCCATTTTCTCTGGCTAGGTAGGACCCAGTTCATCAACTCCCACACCAATGTAACAGAGCTCATTTTAGGGGGCATAGAATCTAAACACCCAAGAGAACTGAACCACTTATGATATGCTAGTGAAATATGGCAGAAAGGCCAAGATGTAGAAACAAATGCTTATGGATCTCCCATTTACTTGCTTACTAGGCCAGGGTCTGGAGTTATGCATTTCACAGTAAATCAGTCTCATATCTTTTCTGTGGATGAGGTAGCAATTATGCAGCATTTATTTTGTTTGATAGTTGTTTGGGTTATCCATAAATTCCTTAGGTAAAAATAAACTATAGATATCATAAGATATTTATAAAAAACAAGATTTATGAGAGTTACTATACATAGCCTTATAAATATCTTTCCATTCATACTTGATTAGCTCACTGCCAGGTTCCCTTCCAGGTACTTGTGGAGAGAGGCACAACAAAGAAAGAATGATTTATGTCATGCTTTTATTTCCCTATGGCCATCTTTTCTCTGTATCTGGTAGCATATCTCTAGGTAGCCATAGCAGCTCCAGAAGTGCTTTCTTCTAGCAATTTCTCTTTTTGACAGAGCCACTTATAAAATCTACAAAAACTGGCTAAATTTTACCTTATGCAGCATTGCATCGTTGATATTTTTGTGTAGCTGTTTACATACAAATAAAAATTAGGACATTGGGACTTGCCAAGGTACAAAATATAAAGGAGGAATAAGTTGGATAAATACATCTTGCTTTACAAGAATCCATTTAAATTAGTAGGATGAAACTATGTAACTACATCACTGTGGTTGAACCTAGGCTCACCTGTGAAGTGGAAAGTCAAATCCCATCCTGTAAAGGCCAACGCACTACTGTGATTTGCTAATACAGCAGGAAGATTAGAAGTCGGAGGTCTTAATTTCACTTGCAGAATTGCCCTTTGTTCGCCTTTCACCTTCTACAAGTGTTGAGTCATTTACCCTCCCATTGCCTGGTATGATTTGTGTTTTTTGAATCTGCAGGAGGCTCCTCAGTGTCACCGCATTGTATTAGCAGCACTTGTTCTTTTCCAGGTTACCTAAAATCAATACCTCTCCCACAGGGTGGTTTTCACTCTCCTCACCACCCCACGTGTGGTGGTAAGTACTGTGGCTGGCAGTCCCGGACTTTGCCGTAAGCTCTCCATTTCCATGCTGACCTGGGACAGTGTTTGAAACCAAGCAAGCTCCATCAGCCTTTCCTAGCTGGGCAGGTTGTGGGCAGGCCTTGCAGATAAAAAAGAAGAAACCCAGGTGGTTTGTTTTTCTTTTGTATTTTCAGTGTTTGAGGCAGAGGTTTGCTAGTTCGGGGTGACAAGTTTCCTCATAGCTTTCTGCCATTTCCATCAGTGTATAATAACCCCTTGGTAAGTGTACAGTGAGCGTCATAACAAGTAGATAATCTGCAGGTGACACATCAGAATCTAAGCATGTCAGCTGGCACACCATGAGAGGAATGGTGAGGGCCCTCAGGGGGCTACAGATGGCACATCCTTACTGTGCTGCCCTCCTGTGTGTGCGCAAGCACGCACACTCATGCGTGTTCACCCTCATGTTCCTGTTTGTGCTCATGTTCACGTTCATTCTTATTCTCAGGGCGGCAGCAGCAGCTGGACGCACAGCGCCTGGATGACTATGTGAATGCCGACCATGACCTATGCTACAACCTCCATAGGTCAGTCAACCCCCCGACTGAGAGGCCGGGCGAGCGGCGCAAGGCCGAGATGAAGCTCTTGTATGGGGACAGCGCTGCCAAGATCCAGGCCATGGAGGCGGCGGTGCAACTGAGCTTTGACAAGCACTGTGACAGAAAGCAGCCCAAGTACTGGCCTGTCATTCCCCTGAAGTTCTGAGCTCTGGGCTCAGGGACCCCTGCGAGTGCTGTCTGCATAGGGTCCCCAGACTTACCCCCTTCCTTTTGGGTATACTCCCTTCATCTTACAGTTATCAGGAAAAAGGAACTTTATGCTAAGATACTACCATGTTCACCAGAATCCCAGTGGGCACTCACAGGGTAGAGGTAATACTCCTGTCACTTAGAATTGAGCAGGACCTATACTGTTGCCAATATGAGAAATTTTCTGACAGAAGATGATAATTTTGTGTCTCCTGCATTGGTTTCTGATGCTGATAACTGTTCAGTTCGTTAAAGTTCTTGCCTACAAATGCTGTCTAATGTTTTGTCTTTTCATATTTTCTTCTGTCTTTAACCAGCCTGAACCTGCCCAGTGCTTTAAATAAGCCAGATGTCTTCTCTAACTCCCAACTCTTTTAGCCCCCAACTGAAAATGGTCCAAGCACACAGTGAGACAAATATTTCTCTCCACTGCAGTGGCCAGCCAGAGAGTCCCTACTTTTGGCTTTGCAATTACTCAAGCCTGCCCTTGTGTGAAAGCAGCCACAGACCATGAGTAAACAGGTAGGTGTGGCTATGTTCCCATAAAACTTTATAAAAAACAGGCCTTGGGCCACATTTGGTCTATAGATGGTAGTTTACCAACCACTACTTTCATGGAATAAAAATCACTTGTCTGGCATTCTTGTTATCTCATCTCTACAGAGCTTAAATGTCTTACAGAATTCAGAGCAAAGGACAATAACTCCCAAACCTGGTCCCTTCAGCAGGCAGTCTCCTCTATTACAGAAAATGCGTAAATGAGCTCTTACTATACAGCAAATACTGTGTTAGTAAGGGAATACATTCCTGAAAATGAAAATCTAAAAGTTGATGGAGCAGGTCATTTATAAAAGCCAGCTGCCTTTTTAAATAAGTTATTACAGTGCGTTGCCGGGGTGAGCCCATGTTGACCTGAGAAGATTAGCACATCCATCAAAGGTTGCTGGAAAGATTTAGTATTGACATGTTTCTCCCTGAAAACACTTAGCTTCACACTCAGCCCCTGCCCTGAGACAAATGCATTGCTTTCCTCAGCCCCAGGTGCTTATTTTTCCAAGCTCTCATTTTATTATTGGAGTTGCAATTTGTGTGTAGGTATTGTAGACAAAAATGAGAATTAACTCCCTCGAGATGACACATAATGAAAATTTCAAATCTTAAGTATTTTCCCTTTTTCTTTTAAACTCATACTATGCCTAACTGTAAAATAAATGTGACTCAGACACAAGTACAGATGAAAGCCAGTAATCACACGTGCTTAGCTGAGCCTGAAATATTTCTTCAAAGGACTCCTGCCTTCCCCCAAACAAATCTTGCTGACCCCACCCCTGCTGGCTTTGTGACCTGGGGTGAGTTACTTTCACCTCTCACTGCTCTGGTTTCATCCTCATCCTGGAAATGAACATGAAGAATTCCCCCTGGTGGGCTCATTGTGAGGACCACATTGAGTTGGACCTATAAAACACATCATGCTGGCCACATGGTAAATATCCGATAAATGTTGGCTCATTTATTCTCTGTCTTCAAAAATTGCCAAAAAGTGGCTGGGCATAGTGGCTCCACCCTGTAACCCTAGCACTCTGGGATGCTGAGGCAGGTGGATTGCTTTAGCGCAGGAGTTTAAGACCAGCCTGAGCAAAAGAGAGACCCCCATCTCTACTAAAAATAGAAAAACTAGCCAGGCATTGTGGAGGCGCCTATAGTCTCAGCTACTCTGGGAGCCTGAGGCAAGGGGATCACTTAAGCCCAAGAGTTTAAGGTTGCTGTGAGCTATGAAGACGCGGCAGCACTCTACCTAGGGTGACAGAGTGAGACTTTGTCTTAAAAAAAAAATTGCCAGGGCGGCTCCTGTGGCTCAAAGGAGTAGGGCACTGGCCCTATATGCCACAGGTGGTAGGTTCAAACCCAGCCCTGGCCAAAAACTGCAAAAAAAAAAAAAAATGCCAAAAAGTGCCAGTGGGAGTCCCAGGTGTAAAACTTCCCAAATATGGAGAAATGTTTCTCAGTTAGCTCTTCAAATGGATGTGCTGGCTTCTGGATACCTCATACTCACCTGTTTTTCTTCCCAGGAGTCACCCATGACTTGTTCATCCATTTATATTTGGGTCTCTTCCATAGCAGTTAGCTAGCCCATAGTCTCTTCTCTTGGGGACCTTGCATGCTAGTTGGGGAGGTCTGTGGCCTGCTGGAGGCAGCTGGGAGAGCACACAGAGGGGAGAGACATTAGGGCAAGGCTTCTTGTCCTCTGCATTATTGGCATGTGGGGCCAGATCACTCTTTGTCTTAACTGCTAGGATCACAGGCCCTTTAGCAGGGCCACCTTTGGTGAGGGGAATGCACTTTGGACAAACTAATGTCTGATGGAAAAACCTTTTCTGTCTATTCTCACACTCAGTACAACACACAACACTCTGACACCAGATGTGTGTGGGTTTTTCTCCACATGTCAAACAGTTCTCCAGAGATACCAACTGGGTTTCCTATCATTCAGTGGCATTCTGACACTGTGTACCTTGAGTTAAAATCAGATCCCACGAGTTAAGGGCTCAGTCCTGCAAGACTGGTCCTGACTTTAGATAGCAATCACAAGTAGGAAGTTTTAAACAATGCCCTATCTGAAGGGTACTACTCTTACTGTACTGAGTTACTGTTACTGTAATTGGAGGTTCACCAATTACCAGTGAGGTTGAACATCTTTTCTGCAACAGGCTTATAAGTGGTCTGCCTGCCTTCATCATGTGATATTGTGATATAATAGGAAATATATACTTAGTTTCTGCTCCTGGCTACTGATATGGAGCTCCTGAAACCCTTGTGGATAGAGGCATTAAGAGAATCTTTTGTTCTACTATTTTATTTTTGATACCAGTTCCTGACAGTACTCTTAAATATTTTGGAGCCACCTATACCTAGGTGATAGGAGTGGACTTTTACTCTAAGGAGGCAATTTTTGGTGGGTTCCTGGAGTGCCGCAGGATGGAGTCTGGTGGCCAGGAGAACCAACCCTGTCTTAGAGGGTTGGAACTTTCAGTCCCATTCCCAACCTCTAAGGAGGGGAGAGAGGCTGAAGGTTGAGTTGATCACCAGTGGCCAATGATTTAATCAATCATGCCTTTGTAATGAAGCATTCATGAAAATGATTGGGTGTGGGGAGCCTCCAGATTGCCGAACATCTGGAGGTGCCTGGAGGGTGATGTGCCCAGAAGGGGATAGAAGCTCTGCACCCTTCCCACATACCTTGTGCTACACCTCTCTTCCTGTTCATCCATATCCTTTTTACTATCCTTTATAATAAACAGGCAAACATAAGCGTTTTCTTGAGATTTGTAACCTGTCCTAGAAAATGAATCAATCCCAAGGAGAACATTGTGGGAACCCCATTTTATAGCCATTTGATTAGAAGTATAGGTGACAACTCCCTTCTAGAGCTTTGGGAGAAAGCGCAAATTCATTTGCCAAGCACCCTTGGTGATCTGACCAGTATTTACATGTCTAGCTTCTCTGTAGCCAGCGCTCTAGGGAGCCCTGCCCCAGCTCACCAAACCACTGGGAGTTCCCTAAACATGAGAGGTTATTTGACACCCCTGGGCTTTCCCTGACAAACACATTCCCTCTCCCTGGATTTTTCCTCCCAGGGTACATTTGGCAATGTTGATAATTTGATGGCTGCACAGAGATGCATTATGCTATTCTCTCTAGTTTTGTTTATGTTTGAAAATTCAATAGTAATTTTTTTTAGTGAAATAGAATTTTGAGGAAAAGATTTTACAGTATTAACTGTTCCAGAAAGTTCTGGTAAACTCAGGACAGAAAACTAAAGTTTGGCCTGACAATCTAGCCACTATTGTCATCTGAAGGAACTTTAAGCAATTTCAGTGGATAGGTAGGGAAGAAAACCAAGTTGTACATCAAAAGCTAATATACTCAAAATAAAACAAAAGAATGGGCACATGTCAAAGGGACACAAACGCCAATCTGAAAGAGCTACCAGTGACCAAACTGAACAATTTGAGCAACAAAATAAATAACATAGCCTTGTGTTGTAACTCAAAGTATAAAATCAGAATGTATGAGTTCATACCAATTAATGAATAATCAATAAATTGGTTATTGATTATCCATTTGTTTATTGAGTAATAAATATATGGGGAGAAGAGACAAATTTTCCTTACTGAAAAATTTCAAATATCTATAGATATTTCCCTCTTTCAAGACATGGACTTCAATGTCCTTCCCCCACTTTCAGTGCAAACTAAAAAGTGAGTGACTCATTTCCAAAAAGCAGAGCATAGAAAGGGAGAATAACTTTCAGTGAAAAAACCTGGCAGATACCACATTATCCAAATGATCAAGGTCAACATCACCAGTGATTATTTCTGTTGATACTATGGCCTAGCTAATATGATATAATGAGAAGGGAACTTCACATCTGTGAGAGTTTCAAAACCCAAAACTCCGATCTAAACATGAAAAAAATATCAGAGAAACACAAACTGAGGGGTATTCTACAAAATATCTGGGGGGGCATAGGTTGAAACCCTCAAGATCACAAAAAGCACAGAAAGATTGAGAAATTGTCACAGAGAAGACTAAGGAAACACGACAACTGAATACAAAGTGGTCTCCTGGAGCAGAAAAAGAACATTAGTGGAAAAGCTGATGAAATCTAGATAAAACCCACAGTGCTAAGAATGTGCTAAGTTCACTTCTTGGTTTTGACAAGTGTACCATAGTTGTGTACAAAGCTAATGAGAGGGGAAACAGGGTGAAGCTACAGAGGAACTCAGTGCTGTCCAGACAACTGCTCTATATATCTAAAATAGCTCCAAAATAAAAAAGTTTTAGACATTTAAAAAGTTTAATCTCATTTTGCAAATTATATTTGTATCAGTTTCTCTTGGTCCACTTTTCAAAGGGAGGGGTATATTTTTATTTTCTAAATGAAGACTTTACAAAGCCTTTTAAGTGCCACAGAACCTGACAGCTGGGACACAAGAATGATATGCCTAAAAGCATAAAGGATCCAACCTTTCTGAGGTACCTAAGGGGTGTTAGTTATATTGCTAGACTATTTATTTATTCATTTATTTATTTATTTAGAGACAGAGTCTCACTTTCTTGCCCCTGGTAAAGTACCATGGCACCACAGCTCCCAGTAACCTCAAGCTCTTGGGTTCAACCAATTCTCTTGTCTCAGCCTCCCAAAGGAGAATCCCCAGGGTGCAACCTGGGACTATAGGTGCCTGCCACAACACCTGGC